ACACACAATTATAAAAGAAAAGTCTCAGATCGTTAATTAATCGTCAAAAATAAATTATCTGTTTAGAAATATTTTATTTCCTGATATACTTAGTTTACGAGAGCAAAATTATAAACGAGAAGAATCGATCCAGAAATATTGCATTTCCATATCGAATAATTTCGCAACGTCACTATTTAGTACTTGTCATAACGTTGCAATACTGCAATTGTCAAATCTGGAATCGAATTAAAATTCCGAGTATAGTTAAATTATTTTCCTATAAATTACTTTTCGTTGCTTCCGTCCATGCGTCACTGCAGGGGTGCCAACTGAAAACCAGTGTTGGCTTACTGTGCTCAGCTTACACTGAGTTGGCGAGCCCTTTCGTCGTGGACATGCTGCCACCCTGTTTCTTTTGTTTTGCTTTTTTATAATGTTTTTTTACTGCTGTTTTTTTTGCCGTCATTGTTTTTTTTACTGCTGTTTTTTTTTTGTTATAAATTTATGTTTTTATTGTTTTTCTTTTTTTTATTTTTGATTTTCAATGTTTATTTTTGTTTATTTTGTGTGTTAATATTCGGTGGTCCATGTCTGGTGGCGAATCAATTTTTTTTCTTCCTTTCTTTCTTTCTTTGGCCATTATACTTTAGTGAACTGACTGCGCCTCTGGTAAGTCGGATGACCATTGTACACTGTTCGAAGCACAGGGTTTACAATAACAACAACATCGGTAGCTCGTGTCACTCTCTGTCCACTGTCAAAATGGTTTTTTTTTAATTTTTATTTATTTATTTATTTTTAATTTTTGTTTTTTATTTATAATGACTGCACGGTTGGTGCGGTGGCTGGGCAACCGGCTGCCGTGTAACGTGTCGCGGGTTCGATTCCCGCACGGAACAACACTTTGTGTGATCCACAAATTGTTGTTTCGGGTCTGGGTGGCCTTTTGTATGTGAACTTGTATGTTTGTAAACGCACCCACGACACAGGAGAAAATGCTAATGTGGGACGTTTTATTTAAAGAAGAAAAAAAAAATAAAGAAGAAATATGCTTCATGCACAAAATGTACAAATAGATGGACTTATGCCGCAGGCATTTTCTACCAGTCTGACCTTTAGGTGATGCAGAAAAGAGTAAATGGTAGGTGCAAGAGGCAAGCGGTGATTTTATTTAACAATGAATGATAAACTAATATTTTTCGGAGATATACCTACATACATAAATAAATATAATTATAATATATACCTACACATGAATACAATAGTGGTTTATCATAACTAATTATTATCATAGATCACACGTTTTAAAAGTCAGATTTATCACAAAGCGCTATCACCTGGTCTCTCTTTCCCTTTTTTAAAATTTTTTCCCCAATCTGCAGTCTAAGGCAAAAAAGGAAGAACTAAGGTTGGGTCTACGACACCCGACGCCAAGAATAGTAACATCATAACATCACGCCTTTTATCCCCGGAGGGGTAGGCAGAGGTGCACATTACGGCATTTAATGCCACTGTACAATGTAACACCCACTTTTCACTATTTATGTTATGAGTCTCATGTAATAGAGGGTGAGCCTATTGCCATATACCGGGCATAATTGCAGACTCGTTTTTTTAACAAAACCCAGTAATACTCTGCCCGACCCGTACTTGCGACTACTCGGCCAACGACGCAGTATGTTATGAATCCTATATATATATATTCTTTTTTTAAGAGGGGAAAATCATCGAATGGCTGCTCCCGCCTGGGTGAGGCGGAAGGGAGTGTCAGACTCTTACTGACTAAAAACCACCCCGTTCCTTCTCCTGCACGTCGAGCCGGAGCCCCGGTTACCCGTTAGGTTCTCCACGACAATCCTATATAATAAGGATGTAACAATGTAATAAATGTTCTATAATTTCCAATTCCAGATGTTCAGTAGACACCTACCTGTTTGACAACTTCGTGACGTCAGATGGAGACACCCTGACAGCCAAGTTCAAGGCGTTCAAGTTCCCTGACACTTCGTATGTGCAGTTCAAAGGCACGGTCACCGTTTGCCTCGACAAATGCCAGGGGGTGAGTGTCGGTGTTAAGGCTGGAAATTGATGGGTGATATTAAATTTTAAACAAGCGAAGATAGGCCAAAGTCAAAGTCAAAGCATTTATTTCAATTAAACCATAGTTTAGTACTTTTGAAACGTCAACAAATACAAAATAAATAATAGTCTGTCAGTCAGTCCGTCAGTGAAGCTAGGTGAAGCTAGGTGCTCATTCCAAAACGTTGATTCGAATGGAGAAGAACGAGCAAGAAACTCCATTCGTTACTCTTTTTAAAAAAAAAGTATGTTCTACAATGTCTCTGATACATATAATCTAAGTAAGAGAGGATTTACTACTTAGTACTTTAGCTAGCCGCTAATAAAAGTCCCGTCAAAATCGGTCCAGCCATTCCAGAGATTATCCAGTACAAACAGACAGACAGACAGACAAAAATTGTAAAAAGTGTTATTTTAGTATGTGTATCGTATGTATATTCATATGCATGTAGTAAAAACCGGTTATTGTAGTATTACAAACAGATACTTCAATTTCATTTATCTGTTTAGATTGCTCTTCATCAGATACTAGCTACTTCCGCGCGGTTTCACACGCTCTGCTCAGCTCTTACTGGTCGTAGCGTGATGTTTTATAGCCTATGGCCATCCTCGATAAATGCGCTATCCAACACAAAAACAATTTTTCAAATCAGACTTGTAGTTACGGAGATTAGCGCGTTCAAACAAACAAACAAAAGAACAAACTCTTCCGCTTTATATAATAGTATAAGATTAAGCCGAGAATACCAGCAAAGGTTATACAAACAGATTATATAATCCTTCAATTATATTTCCAGGTACAATGCAGTAACGGTCAGATCGCTTACGGCCGGAAACGACGCGCCATCAGCTCCGGTAGTGACGCGAACAAGGTCTATGAGGTGTCGCTTACTACCTTCATCAAGGTCGACTATGAAGACGGACAGAATGCTAACGCAGGTTAGAAGGAATTTTTTTTTAATGCATAAGCCGGTAAACGAGCAGACGGTTCACCTGATGGTAAGCAATCGGCGTCGCCCATGGACACCCGGAACACCAGAGGCGTTACAAGTGCGTTACCGGCCTTTTGGGGATTAGGAGTTTGAGTGTCGTTCGGGATTCAGGGATTGGGGAGATTGGGGAAGGGGAGGGTAATTGAGCTTCCGGTAACCTCACTCACACAACGCAAGCGTTGCTTCACGATTTTATTTTTATTAGTACTGCTACTCCCATTTTCTTTCACCCGCTATTAGAGTCTGGAGATAGCATGATGTTTGAGCTTATAGCCTTTTTATACGAACAAGTCGACTCGACCAATGATACCAGAGTACCAAGCACTAATAACTATAGCATTCGTAACGTATCTAATGGTATCAAGCGGGAGAGGGCGCCTAACGCTCTGATTGGTTGATTTACTGGAGCCAGTCAATCAGAGCGCTGAACACACTCGATACGTATTTTTTTTTATGGGACAAGCCCGCCACAGCCTCCCAAAACCGCTACAACTCTTGTAAGCCAGAATCTACAGTAGATACAACCATGAAAACACCGGAACACTGAAGTCCAACGTCTCAGGGACATGAGTAACGGGCTGACAACGCACTAGTACCGGAGGCTCAATTACCTCCCTCCCCAGTCTCCCCAATCCTCGAATCCCCCACAATCCTCAAATCCCTAATTCCCAAATGGCCGATAACGCACTTGTGACGCCTTGGTGTTTCAGGTCTTAACGCCTAGGTGTTTTGGCTGTCCATAGGCGATACCGATAGCTTACCATCAGGTGATCCGTCTGCGTCTCCTCGTTTCCCGACCTATGCCATAAAAAATACATCATACCCAATGCGATATAAAGGCAGTCTTCTTTGATTCTTTCAATTATATATATAATTTCACGCCTGTCTCCCATGGGGGTAGGCAGAGACTATGGAACGCCAATTGCTGCGATTCCTACATACCTCTTTCGCTTCATCAACAGTCATCAATCTTTTCATGCACCCTCGTCGGTTAAGGGTACTTTTAATTTCGTCTACCTTTAATATATCGCCAATCCAGTATATGTCTGTTTAAGGCGCCCTCTACCGACGGCCCTATTCATATTCGCTCTGTATACTTCTTTCTTTCAATTAACACTCTCAAACTAACCTATTATTATATTTCTTTTTTTTACAGAAGATGTCCTAGCACTCCTAAGGAACTTGAAGGTTGCGAACCAGCGTCTAGGAGACATGGATGGAACACCAGCTACCGTAGCAGAGCATACAGCCAAGAATGTTCTAGTGTATCAAGATCCCTTAGTTCTAAGTAAAGCTAGTACCCTAACCAGTAGCCTATTACTTCTGATAAGTCTGCTACTCCTATTCAAATAGAAATGGCAATAATAAAATTATTAAAAAATTTCGACTACATCTCAAAAGACTAAAACTCCAATTTAGTGATTTCATTTAAAAAAAAACGAATGACGTTTAATTGGCGGCGCTTCTAGCGCTGTTAAACGGCAATATTTCGAACTATTTTTTAACGCCTACAATTTTAAAGTTTTTTTTATATATTATATAATATACATAATTATTACGAACGTATTTGCCAAATAACCAATAATAAGAAGTACATTTTCTATTTTTATTAATAAATAATTATTGCTCTAATCTAAACCATTCCGTAGATACTTAAACGAGGATAGAATTAAAATAAAGTGATTTTAATTAAAATATAACGTAAGTGTAAGACAGACAGACGTAATTAATTTAGTTTAGTTTTTAATGATTTAGTACCAGTGTCAAATGGACGCACATTATTTATTAAAACAAAGAAACGAAAGATCAATTGAATACGCAGTTATGAACATAAAGTTTGATTCCGTACAGAGACAGTAGCTATTGTTATATTTTAATGGCATAAGCCGGTAAACGAGCAGACGGATCACCTGATGGTAAGCAATCGGCGTCGCCCATGAACACCTGAAACAAGGCGTCACAAGTGCGTTACCGGCCTTTTGGGAATTGGGGATTTGAGGATTGTGGAGGATTCTGGAATTGAGGAGACTGGGGAGGGGGGGTAATTGAGTCTCTGGCTACTCACACAACGAAACACAACGCTATCGTTGTTTCACGTCAGTTTTCTGCTCGGCCGTGGTATCTCTCCCGTCGAGCCGGCCCATTCCAACATATATGTTTAAATATAGTACTAGCGACCCGCCCCAGCTTCGCACGGCTGCAATATGCATGCATTATTCTTATAAATGGCCT